AGACAGTCGCCATGATTCTCCCTCCGGACACAGACACAGGTTAAGATCCTCCCTGTTAAGCCACCAGCTCGTGGTGTTACACAGAATATGAGAAATGGGTTAGATCAATATGTAAGAGCTAGCCAATAAGAGGCTGGAACTAATGGGCCAGACAGTGTTTAAAAGAATACAGTTTCCTTGTAATTATTTTGGGTAAAGCTAGCCATGCGGGCGGCCGGACGCTAGAAATGTAGCCTGCGGATCCTACTACAACACTCACGCCCCTACCCTGGCAAGTGGTATTTTGTTGAGGTTGGTCCCCGACAGACAACCATCATATGTCCCTTTTGATTTGCCTTGTGCCTAGGATACATGACCAAGCTTCAGGAGAAGATACTTGGTTGCTTTTCTAGAAAGCATAAAGGATTCTTTCTCTCTCATTCATTGACATTTAGTTATAAACGCTGGGTAACTTGTTAGTATGAAAAGAATGGAAAACATGAAACACCATTATGTATTTACATGGGACAGCTTGCTGGCTAGTCTTATGTCAACTTGAAACAAGCTAGAGTTCTCTGAAAGGAGGGAACCTCAGTTGAGAAAATGCCTCTATAAGATCATGCCATAAAGCATTTTCTTAATTAGTGACTGATATGGGAAGGCACAGACCATTGTAGGCTGGTGGCCCTGTATTCTACAAGAAAGTAGACTGAGCAAGTCATGAGAGGCAAGCCAGTAGGCAACACCCCTCTGTGGCTTCTGCATCAGCTTCTCCCTCCAGGTTTCTGCCTTGTTTGAGTTACGGTCCTGGTTTCCTTCAATGATGAACTACAAGGTGGAAGTGTAAGCTGAATAAACCCTTTCCTCCCCAACTTGCTTTTGGTCATGACTTTTTATCACAGCAATAGAAATCCTGACTAAAATAGATAGAAGGAAGGGCTCCAACTCATTTGAAAAATGTAAAGCTGCAGGATAAGCAAGTATGTATCTTTCTTAGAAGGCCCAAAGGTTACTTTCATTATCAATGGAGGTCACCTGAAAGGCTAGGCACTGGTAAGACCATACCTTCTGGGAAGCCAGCAGGGCCGCCAAATCTCCATAGGTAAGGATGGGTCTTGAAGGAATCTCTGTCTCTGTCTCTGTCTTTGTGTCTGTCTCCCCCCCCCCCATAGGAGGAAAGGGAGAGGCAGAAAAGATAGACTGACCGGGAAGGGGCTAGGGGCGGTGGAGGAGGGAGGTACAGCCTATAGTTTGGAAAATACACACAAGGACTAGTTCAGGGACTATGAAAAGAGCAGCAGAAGGGTCTGCCCTTAAGTCCAATGATATTTTAACTTTGCAAGTTAAAGTGTGATGCCATGTCTTGTGGAAATGAACTTGGTTACTGATGAGAAGGCTGAATCAAGTTTGGGAGCTGGAGAGAATGTTGTAGAATATCAAATCCAATAATTTAACTGCATGGGAGAAAGAAATTGAGACCGTGGAGGAAGTGACTCTGGGAGACTCCTGAAGAGAATGCACAACAACCGGAAGTAAATCAGAGGCTTCCTTTCCTCACCACGAGCTAGCCTTGGTGTCACCTTCAAGGTTTTGGAGTTTTGACCCTTTCTGTACTTTCCCATTGGCCTGTTGCGATCTAGATCTCATTTCTTGATGTTGTTCTCTGATGATTAATTTAAACATGCATTTCCTTCCACCTTCTCCATATTCCCTCTGCTTTTGGACAGGATCAACAGAAAGGGGAAAAAAATGAAGTTTTGAATGCCTAAAATGACCAAGGCAGGAATAATGTTATGGACTCTGGGATACATCACACAGTGTCTGAGGTCCTAACCACAGAGCAGGGAGTGGTCTGGAGGTGACACAGGGGGTAGAGTCCCCTCAGGGGAGATGGGACTGCACAGGAGCTTGAAGGGTTGCTAGGTAGATGGAGAAGGAAGTTTATTGCGGAGAGCAGAACCTGCACAAAGAGCAGGCGCCTGTGCTTAGGAGCCTGCTCTAACTTCCACTGGCTGCATACAGCTGGAGGGTTGCAAAACTGCAGCAGAAGGCCCATGCCGGTGCCGGATCATCAAGGCCTGTGCAAACCACGCTGCGGAGTCCGGCCCAGATGAAGCAGCATCAGACCGATATCGCCTCCCATCTTCCCTGGCGATTGTGCCCTTCCGATTTCGCCTGGTAGCCTCCCCTGCGCTCTTCCTCTCCACGGCTGCGGATTATGAGCCTCTGCAATGGAGTGTTCACAGTGAGAGCAGATGGCCACTCCGCAGTGTGAAGACAGGCGCCAGGCTCCCTGGGTTCACCGTGGACTCTCTGTGTTCCCAAAAGCTCGTATTAAGAATAAGCTGCTTGGCTTCCTCCGGCTTTCGTTTCCTCATGTACCAGCTACAGAAATAACATCAGCCCCGTCAAGGGAGCTGCAGGTTAACTGAATTGCATAGGAAGGCCTTACACTATGGATGGACACAGACTCCAGAAAAAGGGTTATAACTTCTGAGCGGCCTTCCGGTATAGGAAGGTGGCCAATACAATGGAGCAACAGGATCAATCAGCCTGCCTGTGTTTTGTCTCTAGACAAGTGACAAAGCTCCTAGTACCCGTGAGCCTTCCTCTGGCCACAGGGCCACGCTCTCTACCTCATCTGAAGTCTTGGGCTACCTTTATTCTCTGCTATGGTAAATTGGTATTTAAACTGCACCGTGTTTGCAAGTGTGAGCAAACTTTTGATCTGGCCCAGGTCTGTGCGCACTGCACGTGAGGGGACGAAAGAAAGCAGAACAACAAAGCAGAATGAGGCTTCTGGTTTGGGTTAGGACTCATGATGGCCCGGCCTGTGGTTCACCAAACACTCAACTTCTGACCTTGTCACTTACATTCCTGGGGAGGACCTCAGGAGCTGCAACTACTTATTGTGATTAACTTTCTGTAATGTTCATGCCTACCTGAGCAATTCATCAGCATTTCAGGAGAAGCAATACAGTGATCTTTCCTAAGACACGGAACACTTTCAACATAATTAGCAGCATTTCTGGATCAACACAGCACTCTTATAATGTGTATGATGGGGGGAAATGAATGACTCTAATTACACCTTATTAAATTTTATTAATCCTCATTAGAACCCTCTTTATAAGTGGGTTACGGAGAAGGGAATAAAAGCAAGCAAGCAATGCCGGTCAAGTTCCGTTATGTCTAAATGAGCATTGGGTGATTTCCCCACAATCAGTAGGAGATAGCACACAGGACCCAGACTGGCTGAAAAGCTTAGGACAGAGGGAGTAGACTGTGATCTTTCAAAGTCTGAATACCAGGTTAATTATAAGGAGAAAAGATTTCATTATTGCGAGGAATGTGCGCCACTCTTGATCTTCTCTGCTGCTGCTTTCCGACTTTTGAACGTGCAGCTGGGAAAGTGGCCCGGGGCAAAGGGGTTAAGTAGTTGAAACCCAGAAGTGTTTGAATTTGAAAACAGCAGGGAGGCGTTGTTCAATAACCGTTAAGCACAAGAATTTGTACTCTGACCCTGATTTGCTTAATTCTTAGTCAAATGGAGTAATCGAAATCGAACCCGAAAAGAGCCACGTTTAAGCTTCCCTGCACCCATAGGTTCTTGGTGTACTTTGTATGTGCATGACTGGCTTAGCAACAGGAGGTCAGGGAGCACACGGGGGAGGGAAAGTGGCTTTGGAGTGGAAGGGTTCAGGATCCTGCCCAGGCAGTTGTGTGGCGCAGGTCACGTTACCACATTTAGTCCATGCAACTTATTTGAGATGGTAGTAATGGGTGGAAGAGCCATTAGGGTGGGCTGGGGTAGCTGTCAGCGCGGGCAAAGGTGAGGCATTTCTTTTGTGTAGGAACAGGAAAGAGAGACAAAAAGAACTAATCATAGGTTTTTTTTGGGGGGGGGGAGACAGGGACCACATAGACTACCTTCCTAGTGCTGGGATTAAAAGCCGTCAATACTGCAGCCCAGAGGGCCTCCAGTACCTCCTACTCCATGTCTTCATCTGGTACATGGGGTTCTCATCTTTGCTCACTTTTACAACTATCAAAGACAAAAAAAAAAAAAAAAAAAAAAATCCAACCCCAACCTTTCCAAGAACAGGCCAGTCTTTATTCAAACCAGTTCACCCAGTTTGTGTATTTTCTTTTCTAAGCGCTAAGAAAAGAGCAAGCCTTCTGGTATTCCGGCAGAGCAGGGATGGGAAGCACATCTTAAACTCCAAAGGTTCATTTCTGTTCTGAACAAAGAACAGGAAGTTACCCTGATTGCCACTGTTACTCAAGGCTTGTCAACCGCAACCTTCCAGGAACTGGGGCTAGTCACTTCAGTGGGTGGTCGAGTCATCTGCCAGGTCTAACTCGGTTCTGAGTTCACAGCCACGGAGCTTGGGTCCTGCCTGAAGGCGGAAACCCAGCTGGGAGTTGAGAATGGGCTCTGCTCCTAGATTTGCGCTGTGTACGATTGGGTCAGGTCGCGGCGCCTGAGAGCTTCGGCGCTCTCACGTGTGAAGTGAACCGAAGTTGCTCTCCACCATCCCGAAGTTCTGAGTCCTACTGGAGTCCTGGGCGGGGCTCCAGCGAGACTCTTGGGGTGGGGAGAGTGGGGGTGAGGGGGTGTTCCGTGGCAGGATCTCTTCGTTCAAACTCAGCCTTCCAATTTGTCGCCTGCAGAGCGGACCCTAGTGTGCCGGTTTTTCGACTTCCTCCTGCATCTCCTTCCTCTTCCTCCAGTGGAGGCAGATCCCTCTTTCCCTTCCTCTTCCCAAGCTCCCTGCACCCCCGTGTCCCCTCCTCCAGGAAGTGCACTGCCCAGGGTCGCCCACCTCGAGCGGGCGCTGCCCGCCGCGCCCCCTCCCAGCCCGGCTAGCGCAGCGGCCCCGCGGGCACACGCCTCCCCATACCTTACATGGACAAATGCGTGCAGGCAAAGTCAGGAATTCAGGCCCCTGACGTCAGCCTCCAGCGCTCAGGGCACCGCACGGGAGACCGCGGGGAGGGGGTGGGGAGGAAGGAGGGGGAGAGCACCAACCAGCAGCCACTCCCGGCCTGCCGAAGTTTCACTTTTTGTCTGTGGGTTCGCTCCCGGGCCCCGCTCCGAGCGTTCCCGGGATAAGTAGCACTAGCGGCGGGAAGAGCCGGCCGCTGCAAGGTAAGGGCCAGCAGCGGGGACCGGGCACGGGGAGGGCGCTGGGCCAGGCGGAGCGGGCCGCTGCGGGCCGCGGGCCGGGACAATGGGAGGGGGGAGTGCCCGGCACCTCCTCCTCCGCCCGAGCCTCCGCCTCCAGCCGTCGCGGCCACCGCTGCCCTGTCCGCCTCCTCCCCCAGGTATAGTAGCGAATACTTCCTCCCGCAGCCTCGGCCCGCGGGTGCCCGCTCGAACCCCGGATCCTCTCCCCCTCCCGGGGCGAGCCGCTGCGGTGGCGGGAGCGCGGGACCGCCCTGCTCCGCCCTGCTCGCCGCGGAAGTGCGGGCTCCCGGCCGGGAAGCGGGGTGAACGGCGTGGGGGGAGGGGCGACGCTGCGGGCGTCCTCTGCGAGCGCCCCCCGGCCCGGGCTTTTCTGGGTGCCCAGGGGGCGGGGCCGCGCCCGGCTGCTTCGAGCTTTCGTGGAATCTCAGTTGTCACAGCGGAAAGGGCCTAGGGACCCGGTGACTCGAGAGTCTTCCCATTTTACAGTCAAGGCTGGCGAGGCACCGAGAGGCGGGCTTTCCTGGAAGTCATTCCTGGAAGGTGGAGCCTTGGCTAAGATCGGTGCCTTAGGACCCCGACCGCCTTTTTCTGTAAACTGTTTTGGAGTCCCCACTGTTTTCAAGCACTGTTGGTTACTCCAGGCCAGACTTTGCCCTCAGGGAGAGCTCTCTGGAACGCAGGAGCTAAACTTGACCAAAGTAGGAAGAAGGGCCAAATGCTGGAGATCTCGAAGATCAGCCTTTTTTTTTTTTTTTTTTTTTTTTTTAAGGGGGGGGTGTCTCGGGAAGAAGCTTCATATTTCCGTCTCCATGAAGAGACCAGAAGTGGTCTTGGAGGGCTGTGTGTGTTTGTGATTGACTATTTTGAAGGAAGGCAAGGCCTTCCTTGTCAGGGAGGCAACTGCGGACCGGAGAAAGCTAAATAAGGGTGGGGATTGGACGTTGCGCTGATGGCTTTGGGGTGGGAGTCTGACAGGAGACCATAGCAGTGGAGTTGTGACTTGGGTACTTGGACTGGAAGGTGGTGTAAAATGTCTTTAACCTCATTTCTGTTTAGGAAGGGGTCCACTGCTTCCCCTCCCCCACAAGGAGGCCTAGCAAGACCTCATCAGCCTTCCTTTCTGACTTTCTCAATAGACTCCAACATTTTGTATCTGGACCCTCTCTCCCCTTTGCAAGCTTGCCTCCCCAATAAAACTTTCTTTCCAAGATGTTGGTGACTTAATGGTTCACTACTCCCCGCCCAAGCAACTTTTTCGAAAACCTTTATGGGAAGAGAGGTAAAGTGTACAAGGCTGCTGCGGAATAAGTAAACCTCTCCCTGACCGCTTTTCTTATTTTTTACAAATAGGGAAACAAACCCAGATCCGCAGAAGTTGAGTGCCAGTCCTGAAGTCTTTGGTGGATAGTGGTGGACTGAGGTGTGTGTTTGGGGGAGGGTGGTGGTGGTGGTGGTTTACAGAAACCCAGTAAGATTCTTCCTGTCCCCAGAGTCTCCTGGTGAGGTTCTTGTCAGCACCAAGGGGCGTTTAAAGAGGAAATTATGTGTCTTGCATTTAATCTCTGGAAGGCAGCCTGTAGAGTCCAGAATGCTGTCTAGTGAGGATTCGATGTGTGAAGGGTAGGGGGACGTGCCAGGGGTCCTGAGGCTTGGAAAGTATCTTGTCTTGTATCTCCTGACCCTCCTTCTTCTCCCCATCCCCAATTCCTCGTAAGCAGCTCTAGCCTGGAGTTGGGGTTAGGAAGTGGGAGGGGACGCCAGTTCTTGACTTGGTCATTATTGCTGGGATTGAGTGTCCTTTCGTGGAGGGACATTCTGGCAAGGAGGTGAATTCTCTGAGAGGGTAGACATTGCCAGACAGTGATAGGTAGGAGAGGAGACTTGGTTCTGGAAGGCTTTAGGAATGCCAGGCCATATGACTTTTGAGGGTTTCGAGCAGGCAGGAACATGATTTGGAGAACTGGCATTGAGAAGCCTCCTGCTGCCCAGGTTCAGTGAGAGAGGTGATAATTTGGCTTAAAGAAAATGATCATGGGTTGTTTGATTTGCCTGGCATGTGTTGCTGAATGCCTGTCATGCACCAGCCCCACTGTCAAATATGGTTGTTATTTTTTATTGAGGCAGAGTTTATTAAATGAGTTCTGAACTGCACCTTTTCCCCGTTTTTCTACCACTGAAGTACGATGGTCTTTTAAGCACAGATGCGCCCTAGCTGAACAAGGTTTTCTTCTTAAGTTGGCAATGCAGTGCATTTACAGTCGCTGTTTTAAATTTGATAAAACTTGGTTGCTAGGTCCTTTATAAATGTATAGAACTTTTGCATTTTATAAAAAAAGCCGTTTCCATCAAATATTCTATGGGAATGTCTTGAGAAGTAAGCATGGTGACAGGCTTTCTCCATTTTAACCCTTTTACCCGAGGTTACAGAGGTAATTAGAGGGGTACACGAAAGTGGTAATTCCAAACTTGGGGTTCTTGGTGGGAATGTGTAACTTTGCCCCACAGTGTATCTAGTGGGTTAGTGCTGGAGCAGAGGCAGGTTAGCTTTGATTTCAGAACGATGACTTCCGTGCTGGGGTCCTGGGACCAGGTAAATCAAGGACTGTATAACTTGTAAGGGCTGGGAACCAACTGCAAGGTAACTCCATACAGCAGAGGCTAAAGGCAAGGAGGAGACCCAGTGTGGAAGCATGCCTCAGGCCCATTCCCCCCGTGGTCCAGGGAGACACTAAGTGGGCTTCTGGGCGTTTAAGTTGAGGAGGCCACCCTTCCTTCGCCAGAGGAGCGCCAGGTGTGTGCCACCGCGGAGGAGCATGGAGGGTGTGGTTAGTATTTCGGCTACACAGTGGGCTGGAAATGATCAGCCGCAGAGAAGCAAACCCCCATCAATGGGTACTGTCTGAACCGAATCTCCAGCGCTAAGAAAGAGAGGCGTGAGGGGAGGAAGGAAGGCCTGAGATGGAGCCGCTAGACAAAGGGTCCTCTGTGCAAGGGCAGGGGACAGGGCGGTTTATTTTAGCTGTGTTTCAAAGGGTCAGCATGTTTGTGGAGGTTAGAGAACAACTTTGTGGCGTCTGTTGGGTTCCAGAAACTCAAGCACCATGTTTGTACTGCAAGAACCTTTGCCTGTGGAGCCTCTTTGGCTGCCCTAAAAGGGAGGACTGATTTTTTATTTTTATTTTTTCCGAAGTATAGTTTCTATTTGTCTTGCAGCTGTGGGGGCCATTAATCAATCCTATTGAGAGTCATGATTCACAGGGTAGCAAGGCTGGGTAGGACCTCTAGAAGCTTCACTGTGGGATCGAGTGTATGATGTTGAAGCCGAAGGCATAAGAACACTTTTTATAAGTGGATAAGTGAACCTGAGACTTTGACCCAGCGCAGTAAGGAGGGCCTCAGAGTTGGATGTGTGCATTGGTGGGTGGGGACATTTCCTGGAATATGGCTTTGGAATGCAGCGCTCTGCCTAAACTCACTGGAGGTGAGGAAGCGGAGGGCGGGGGGGGGGGGGGGGGGGGGGGGGGGGG